ATTATACACAAGTTACATAACTATACATTGAAGTTACATTACTCTCAAGTAGTTAATCAATGTACACTGGACTTGGTTGCAGTCATACTAATGCACACGACATACACACTATTAAACACAAATTACATAACTATACATTAAAGTTACATTACTCACAAGAAGTTAATCAATGTACACTGGACATGGTTGCAGTCATACTAATGCACACGAGTTACACACTATTATACACAAGTTACATAACTATACATTGAAGTTACAGTACTCACAAGAAGTTAATTAATGTACACTGGACTTGGTTGCAGTCATACTAATGCACACAACATACACATAGATAATAATTATTATTATTATCATTATTATAATTATAACTAAATAGATAGATGTAAGGGCCGTCTAATAATTATAGTAGTATTATATAGTTAATAAAATTTATTTCCTAAATTAGTCCCGCCCAGTAGTCTAAGGTTATTAATTTGGTAAGATCAGTTATTATTATATATTTAAATTGATAATAAACGGTATTTAAAATCTGAGCGGTGCATGCGGGAAGAATTATTGCCCAAAATTTGTTAAGACAATAAAAGTAAGAAATTATAATGAAAGTATGCTAGAAGTAGGACACGTATGAAATTAAATATTTTAATTTATTTCCTAAATTAGTCCCGCCTCAATTACATGTATGATTGCATTGAATAAACTTCCAAAATAAAGAGTGTAAAACGTGTGTGAAATTATGCAATAATAAATGCTTTCCTTTTGTTTTCACTTTTTAATGGTATGACTTGCCATATGACATGGTATTGAATATTCACTATCTCATGTATTAACAATAGTTGTAATAATTATAAAAGTATTAATTTGTTACAAAATCTTTCCTCTAATTAGTTTTAATTATATTTATTTTATGTAACAATCTTTACATTATATAAAGTACTACCTCCGTCCCTTAAAACTTTGCCAAAGTTGACCGGTACGGAGAATAATAAAGTAAAAATTGTGTGGTTGAGGTTTGTGTAGAGGAGAGAAATAACAGAAACCATAATATAATTGATTAAAAAGGAAAGCGACAAAGTTTTTTGGGACGTCCCAAAAAGGAAAGATGGTAAAGTTTTAAGGGACGAAGGGAGTAATAAAGCCATATACTGTGTAATATACTTTTAATTACTGTGTATAAAGTTATGGTTATTATTATAATAGTACACCTATGGAACAAATTAAGTAATAGTACATTTAATACAAATACGCTATATGGTAGACTTTCCTCTCTCTTCAATATTCCTATTTTAGTACATGCAGGAAATTACTGTATATGGCAAGTAGTGTCACATAATAATTTCGTAAATATATGGCAAGTAGTGTCATAATTATCTTTCATGGGAGGCATGCTTTTTGGGCTGCACTTCTAAATCTCTTTTACATGCATTTTCCAATTTCCAATTATGTCGTTATTTTGGGCGGGAAAATTCCCTCCAATAGTTGTTGCCCCACTGATACTTTATACTCCCTCCGTCCCTAAATTATCTTCAAACTTTCCTTTTTCGTCCGTCCCAAAATTATCTCCTCTTCCCCCTTTTAGCAAAAAATTTGTGGTTCACAACCATTCTTACACATTCTTACACATTTCTCTCTCCTCTGCACAACTCTCCACCACACAAATCTCACTATCTTAATAAATGTGCCCAGCCGAAAAGGGAGAAAGATTAGGGACGGAGGGAGTATTATATAAAGATTACTAACGTTTGACATGATATGGTATGTTCTATTATGTTTAAGTGCGATGTATTATGGCCTATTTAGATCTGATTTGGTCTGTCGTTGAAAGTAATATAATTAAAAAATATCACATATCACATAATCACAAATAAAATCAGTCCAAATCATAACTTATGCTATGTATCTTTACTTTTTATAAAATAATTATTTTGAAGAAGTTCAAAATATTAGTCCCGACCAACATGACAGTTAAGTTAATTACAATTTAATGTTATTATTATCGTGTATTATTACATGTCAAATCATTTTCACAAAATTATTGTTAAGTTGATATTGTTTTTGTGCAATCTCTAGAAATGAGATTAGAAGTGTTCTAATCTCAAATTTTCTAATATGTATGGTTGGAAGTATTGGATATAAACTTTGATTTGTTTAATATATGTAGGGAAATTTGCAATTTTCATCTCGTAACTTTCAACCGTTTTCAATATTAGTCCCGCAACTTTAGTCAGTTGTAAATTTAGTCCTCTAACTACTTAATATTCCAACTGAAAAGTATACTTTCCCGTGATAGTTTACCGAAAAAGATGTCTCCGGCGTTGGCTTTTTCTGTCGGAAAGTGTAGTTTCCTGTGGAAAAATCCTTGAATTGCAAAGATTTATTAGTTACAGGACCAAGTTTGTAATTGATTAAAGTTACAGTACCAATAACGATAACAGCCAAATGTCACACGATTAAAATTGCAAATCTTCCATATTTATAATCACAATTTTCAATTAGTTTTACTTTTCACATATAAGTACCATATTTATATTTCGTTATTTTTCTACAAAACTATGTTATTATGCAAATATTTAAATGGAGTTTTAAAAAAATAGAACAAAAGAGTAAAAAAGTAATGGAGTTGATTAAATAAAATAATATGATAAATGGAGAGTTTATAAACAAAGAATCGCTCTTTGTATTGAATTTTAGAAAGAAAAAAATCATATTGGTACATGTGGTTAAGGTTTATTGTGAGCTTATGTACAATTACTTTATCAATGTTTCATAATAATGACGATTAACCATACAATTCTGACAGTTGTATAAAAGAATGTGTTCTAAAAAATTGTAGATTGATATCAATCACACATACAAAGTATTACATTGGGTATTACAAAATTCTCCTCCACAATTTATATAATAAGATATATTAGCGTACGTCTTTGTATGACAAAAGTTTATTTTGAAAAACTTCTTCGTGATTTGCAAATACTACTCTAACGTGGATCGCACGGGTAGAATACTAGTTCACATAACAAATGAGAATAAATCTTAGACCCGCACGAGTACCTCAGTTGGTTCAGTGGTGGGAAATTGGGAATAATGACCGAGGTTCGAAACCCGCAGCGGTCGTGTGGAAATTACAGTTTCTGCGTGCTGGGCTGGACCTCTGGTGTACACAAGTAAGGATGTTTTTACTTGGACTGTAATTTGCTGGTCTGATCGTGTCTGGTCTGGTTTCTTTGTATTTTTAAAACTATCCAAGTCTGGTCTAGTCTGAACTGGTCTGGTCTGGTCTAATCTGGTCTAGTCTGGGAGGAATTACAGTCCAAGTAAAAACATCCTAAAAGGCCTACCCGCCTACCATCATTGGCCCGACGAATCATCGTGACTTACATCCTCCCAAATATCATGTCTGGTCGGAATGTGAGGGCTCCTCGGGTGGGAGATTCCACCTTTTGTGAAACAATGAGAATAAATCTTAGCCGTGCCGTCGGCCATTTTTTCGTTGGTTCGTCATTGTCATTTTTTTAATCGTGTCGTCATTTTTTCATAAGGGGCCCACACCATGGTTCACTACTAGAAAAATGCCTTATAGTGACACCAAATTAGCGTCACTAAAAGTTTCTGTGACACTAAAAAAGTGTCGCTGAAAATGGGGGCTAGTGACACTTTTAGTGACACTTTTTAAGTGTCACTAAAAGTGTCACATAATTGTGACACTATGGTATCACAAAATAATGACACCATTGTATCACAAATTGTTGTGACACTATGGTATCACAAAGTTGTGTGACCCTCTAGTATCATTAAAACATACACATAATACATTAATTTTAATATATATACATATATATATATATATATAATTTAATACTAATAAGTAACAAAAGTTTGAAACATTTTTATTTATATATCAAATTCTCACATAAATGTGGATGTACATACTACATAATTAATTCATAGGGGCATACCCCGAACCAATAATAAGTAATAAAGCTGAACAAAAAGCTAACTAGTCTAACTAGAAGGCTGAAATGGTTCTACAAATGTATATGGAATAAATATTATTGTAGTTAATGAGCTATTTTCTGGAGATTATTCAGCTTGGAAACAGAGTACAAATAGGTCAACTGAATCCTCCAAGAAGCATAAAATTGGACTATGAATATCTAGGGGAGCCAGGGACTGATCCAGGAAATTTGACCAAGGGGGGCGAATTTGCAAAATTTTATACGGTCATACTCATACGGAATTTACAAAATGTAGCATATATTTGCTAAAATGTTTAGATTACCAAATGCATAATATTTCACATAACTTCAGCAAAAAAACAACAACAAAATAGGAATTTTCATTCAACCCCTTCTACGTATGAAAGTTAGGCATTCTAAATTGCACTCTACAATTTTTTAAAAGATCAAAGTCATCAATGATACAATCTGTTGAAAACCCCCGAGCTATGTCTCTCTCTATATATGTCACCAGGTAGCTTGAAAGAAAGTCATCCTCCATTTTATTTCGGAGGCAAGTCTTCACAATTTTCATGGCTGAAAATGCTCTTTCTGTGGTTGCCGTTGAAACTGGAAGAGTTAGTAAGAGACGGATTATCCTATCAACAAGAGGATAAATGGTTGACTTCCGAGTCTTCGTCATTAATTCACACAATTCCGCTAGTGTTGATGCTTTCTTCAACTCTAGATTTTGTTGAGCATCAAATTTGAAATGCTCCAGCTGAATCCTCAAGTGTTCCTTTTCCATTGTAGAGAAATCATCAGGATAAAACTTGTTCACAAGTTTGCATATATCTTCAACCTGAAAAGACATATAATCATCTCTTAGATCCAAAGCAGAACTCAGAACAAGTAACTCTACAACATCATCCTTGAAGCGATAATTCAGTTCTAGCATAAGCTTATCCACAACAGAGTTAAATATATCAAACTTATAGTGATGCTCCAATGTAAGACAATCTCTGTTGTTTCTTTGATGGCGGGGTCGACCTCGCCCAACTTTGTATACAGCACTGAAATTTGGAATTTCTATTCCATGTTGAGAACAGAATAACTTCACTTTCTCAAGTAAGAGATCCCATCCATGTTCTCTCATTTTTTGGAGAAGCTCTTTTGTTGATGACACTAAATGCATTGCATTCAGTATATCTTGAGATTTACGCTGCAAGGCTTGAGACAAATCATCTGTCACTGCAAGCACATCAATCATGAGATGTAAAATAAACACAAACTCAAAAGATGTTATCACATCATACACTCCATCAGCTTCACTCCTCTGTGTCATGCTCCCAGATTTAATTATGTCTCGCAACACATCACAAGTAGAATTAAACATCCTTACCAAACTGCGAAGTGAGGTTAAATGGGAACCCCAACGAGTATCTCCCGGACGTTGGAGAGTGCCAACTTGGTTTTTCCCCTTACCAGTTTCAATATCACCGTTGGTGATCATCTCCTCAATCTGTAATGACTCAAAGTCTCTCAGTTGATCAATCCTTTTGCAAGAACAAAGGACCAAATTAATAATGGTAGACAGATATGAGAAAAATTGACTAACCGGAATCACCTCTTTGGAAGTAGCAACCAATGTTAATTGAAGCCGGTGAGCAAGACAATGAACATAATAGGCAAATGGACACTTTTGTAAAAATAAGGCCTGCAAACCATTCCATTCACCACGCATATTGCTCGCTCCGTCGTATCCTTGTCCTCGAATATTCGCCACACTAAGACAATAACGAGATAGAACTTCTGAAATTCCTTTCTCCAGAGCTAATGATGTAGTCTCTTTAACATGAACTATATCAAAAAATCTTTCACGAATGTAGCCTTCTTTATCAACGAATCTCAATACAATCGCCATTTGCTCTCTCTAGGACTCATCACGAGCTTCATCAACTAGTATGCAGAACTTTGAATCGCCAATCTCTTCTCGAATATAGTGTTGGACCTTAGTTGCCAAAATAGAAAGAATCTCTTTTTGAACACTTGGAGAAGTGTATGACGCGTTTCTTGGAGCATTCTCTAACACAACAGATCTCACTTCCTCATTGTAAGATGCTAACAATTTTGTTAGCTCAAGGAAGTTGCCTCGATTGTTTGAGTCTACACTGTTGGAAAAATGTGTTAAAATTGCATTAAATGGTCTTTTTGGGGCAATTATTTGAGTGGGGTCCACTTCCGATTTGGGTCGGGTCAAAGTGGTTTCGGATTGTCCTTGTTAAGGGCTACAATTCGATATATGGTACACTCAAAACGGATAACTGGTGAATGAGAAATTGATTCTCGAAGTTCACTCGTTGAAATGGAAAAATTGGGAAAATGGTGAGTTTCTAGTGTGTTTTATCCCACACCGAAAAACTCAAGAGATTTTCACCCCCTTATAAAGGGAAGCCTCTTTTAAGGAGTTAAGATTCCTAGAGGGAAAGGCTCTCTCTTACGCGCAGGGGGGAGGGTGCCGATCAAATCCCGAAACAGAGAAGAAAAACCGCGACTCGTGTGCGCGGGCGACCTGCGGACACGAATGTCGTCCGAAAACCTATCATTCAAAGATACGGTCTAAGTTTTGTTTCTTCCCGTAACGTTTTATTTTTTCCCAGGATCAGAGTTGATCGAACTCTGGTGGCTTCGGATCAGAGTTGCTCGAACTCTGGTGGCTTCTGACCAGAAGCTCGAACTCTGGTGGCTTCGCATCAGAGTTGCTCGAACTCTGGTGGCTTCGGACCAGAAGCTCGAACTCTGGTGGCTTCGCATCAGAGTTGCTCCAACTCTGGTGGAGGTCTTCTGGTAGCATCAGAACTGCCCCAACTCTGGTGGGGGTATTCTGATCGCGCACCAGAACTGCTCCAAGCCGTTACAACCATTAAATGCCCAACGTTCTTGTCTTTTAATGCAACGTTAAATGGACAGTTTATGGATGATTCAATGCCCAACGGACTGGTCATTGAAGTCCAACGTTCAGGTCCATTAACACCTCATTTAACACACAACAAATCCTCCTATAAATAGCTAGCAGGTGGTTTGCAACAAGGACAACGCACAATACATTCCTCACGAATTTCTTGAGCTAAAAACACCTAAAGCTACTCAGAAAACTTCCTTCTGTGTTCATACTTGGTTCTCGTTCGCTGGAACTCTTGTTTGTGTGCTCAAACATTAGTTCGTAGTCATCGTATCCTGGGAAACGATTGTTGCAACGCTCCTAGCACCGTGGGAGGCAACAAATAAGTTTTAAGGAAATCGTGTGTAGCACGAGCTTTGACTAATTCTGCTTCATCTCCTTTCCTGTTTTTCTTTAGTCATTTTATTTAATTAATTTATTTTAATTAATTTTCTTTATTTTCCGAAACACACCCATCAATCTTAAAACGTATTTGTTGATTGTTCTACTCCGGTAAACAATCTTAAACGAAGTTTGTCACTTTGGTGAACGAACTTATTTTATTTGTGTTTTCGGAAAAACGTTAAAGAACGAAAATGACTTCTCAAGAAAACGAGATTGGTGTTGGGCAGAATGTTCTGAACGACAATCACTCTGAAAGCGGAGCACCGGTGAACAATAGTTCACAACGCGGTGCATCTGCTTTGGCCAACCAAAGGGCTATTCCTATGGTGACCGTGCCAAGCAACTATGTGGAGAAACCCGAGAAATTCAACGGGTTAAACTTCAAGAGGTGGCAGCAAAAGATGCTATTTTACCTCACTACTCTCGGTCTTGCTAGATTCTTGACCGAAGATGCGCCGGTAGCAACCGGGGGTGAGGTGGATGCGCAATCTTTCAACGCGGTTGAAGCTTGGAAGCATTCTGACTTCCTTTGCCGAAACTACGTGTTGAACGGGCTGTATGATGCTTTGTACGACGTGTATAGCAAATTAGCTACGGCTAAGGAGCTATGGAATGCTTTGGACCACAAATATAAAAGCGAGGATGCCGGCGCAAAGAAATTTGTTGTTGGTCGATTCCTTGATTTTAAAATGGTGGATTCGAAGACGGTCTTGAGTCAAGTTGAGGAGATGCAAATGATCTTCAACGAAATTCGAGATGAAGGAATGACGGTTAGTGAGTCATTCCAAGTGGCGTCAATTATTCACTTATTGCCGCCGGCTTGGAAGGATTTCAAGAACTACCTTAAGCATAAGCGAAAGGAAATGAACTTGGAGCAATTGATCCTCCGTCTGCGGATTGAAGAGGATAACCGGAAGAACGATGGGAAACTCCCAATTGTTCATGGCGCCAAGGCCAACGTGGTGGAGCATGCTAAAGGCTCTAAAAATAAAAATAATGGGAAGAGCAAGCTCGATCCCAAGGGAGGCGTTTCCAAGACAAAGTTCAACGGAAAATGCTTCAATTGCAACAAGAATGGACACAAGTCCTCGGATTGCAAGGCACCAAGGAAGAAGAAAGATTCTCACGTGAACTTGGTGCAAGGTGGGCAAAAGGATGAAGACATCATCCTTGCGGCTGTGGTGACCGAGGTTAACCTCGTTGGATCCAATTCCAAGGAGTGGTTCGTGGACACCGGTGCTACCCGGCATATTTGCTCAAACCGGGAGCTATTCACGACCTTTGAGCCATCAAATGGTGAAAAGGTGTGGATGGGAAATTCTGCTCATTCCGCGGTGGAAGGCGTGGGCAAGGTGGTCCTGAAGATGACTTCGGGCAAGGAGCTGACTCTAAACCAAGTTTTGTTCGTTCCGGAAATACGCAAAAACCTGATTTTCGGTTCGTTGTTGAACAAGCATGGCTTCCGCATGGTTTTTGAGTCGGACAAATTAGTTTTGTCTAAATCGGGAATGTATGTGGGAAAGGGGTATACATGTGATGGGCTGTTTAAGCTCAATGTAATGACTATTATTAATAATAATAATAAAATCCCTTCTGCTTACTTGCTTGAGTCTTCCAATGTGTGGCATGGTAGACTAGGACATGTTAATTTTAATTCTATACGTAGATTAATTAACATGGAGCACATTCCTAAATTCACAATTGATGTGAAGCACAAATGTGAAGTTTGTGTAGAGGCAAAACTAACGAAAACGTCTTTCAAATCGGTTGAAAGAAAAACGGAACCACTTGAATTAATTCATAGTGACGTTTGTGATTTTAAATCAATACAAACACGCGGCGGTAATAAATATTTTATTACCTTTATCGATGATAGCACTCGCTATAGCTACGTTTATTTATTAAAAAATAAACACGAAGCAATCGATAAATTCATTCTTTATAAGAATGAAGTGGAAAACCAACTTAATCGAAGGATTAAGACGGTTAGGAGTGATCGAGGTGGTGAGTATGAAGCACCAATTGGTGACTTTTGCGCTAGTGTGGGTATAGTACACGAACGTACCGCACCCTATTCACCTCAATCAAACGGTGTTGCCGAACGAAAGAATCGCACATTGAAAGATATGATGAATGCGATGCTAGTAAGTTCGGGCTTGCCACAAAATATGTGGGGCGAAGCAATCTTGACAAGCAATTACCTTTTAAATAAGGTTCCCCGGAAAAAATATGATAAAACTCCGTACGAGTTGTGGAAAGGCAGACGGCCTTCCTATCAATATTTAAAAGTGTGGGGGTGTCTTGCTAAGGTGCTTGTACCAACACCTAAGAAAATAAAAATAGGTCCAAAAACGGTGGATTGTATTTTTATTGGGTATGCACAAAATAGTAGTGCTTATCGGTTTTTAGTGTACGATTCGAATAATCCGGATGTACATAAAAACACAATAATTGAATCAAGGAATGCTTCATTCTTTGAAGATGTATTTCCATGCAAGTCCAACGAAGGGCCTAGCACGTCAAAACGAACATTTGACGTAGCTATGGAAAATACTAGCGAGGGATCCGGAGAAGAACCCGAACCCAGACGTAGCAAACGTGCTAGAGTCGAAAAAATCCTTCGGACCGGATTTTCTCACCTACCTGGTAGAATTTGAATCGGATGTTCTAACATGTATGGTAGAAAATGAACCGGATTTTCTAACATGTTTGGTAGAAAATGAGCCACGGACTTATACGGAAGCCGTGACGTCTACTGAAGGTCCTATGTGGAAAGAAGCCATCAAAAGTGAGGTGGATTCTATCCTTAAAAATCACACATGGGAATTGGTTGATCTTCCTCCGGGAAATAAACCTTTGGGATCCAAGTGGATTTTTAAACGGAAAATGAAACCGGACGGTTCCATCGATAAGTACAAGGCCAGACTTGTAATCAAAGGATACAAGCAACGTGAGGGCCATGATTACTTTGACACATATTCTCCTGTGACGAGAATAAATTCCATTAGGATGATACTAGCAATTGCCGCATTGCGGAAATTGGAAGTTCATCAAATGGACGTACAAACCGCTTTTCTAAATGGCGATATAGACGAAGAAATCTATATGGAACAGCCCGAGGGCTTTCGTGTTCCAGGCCAAGAAAGGAAAGTGTGTAAATTAATTAAATCATTGTATGGATTGAAACAAGCCCCTAAACAGTGGCACGAAAAGTTCGATCATGCAATGTTAATTAATGGGTTTAAAATAAACGAAAGTGACAAATGCGTCTATGTGAAGAGCACGGTAGACGGCTATGTCATTTTATGTTTATACGTGGATGATATACTCATCGTGGGTAGCAATAATCTAATGATTAATTCTACCAAAAGCATGTTAAATTCTAAATTTGACATGAAGGATATGGGGCTGGCCGATTTAATCCTTGGGATTAAAATAATTAGAGGACCTGACGGTC